CAGACATGCCTAAAAGAGAATTTGCTGTCTAAATACACAAATTTATATATATATATATATATTAATTCATGTTTCATTAAATAATATAGAGGCGTTTTGTCTCTTTCAAGTAAGTTCCTTTCATATTGTATGATAAGGTTAATCACATTATCGTTGAAAGACGAACTGAAAAAACCATATTAATACATGTTTAAATCCAATCTAAGCTTTCGGCTTAGACAAGCCATTATCAAAGATGACAATTTCAATAAATCAACAACGGACGAAACAACACTGATAGTCCGCCCTTGCTGCATAAAGATTTCAAGTAACGACAAAATCGTATATACGAGACGCGGAAGCGAAAATCGCGTCGCGGCTTGTGACGTCACATATGACGACGCTAGAGTGAAAAACGAGAAGTATTAAGTATGGGAAGACGTTGGTATAAACTGTTGAGGGGTCCTCCCCTTTTTATACAAACGGACTCACCCAGTATATACATATACTACTGCTAGGTGAAGACACGAGAGACGAGAGCAACAGAGGGTGAAGGTAACAGACAGACAATCAGACAGACAGAACAAACGTAGCGAGCAAGAGTCACCGTGAGCGAGCACGTAGACTCAGTAAGAAGTCATACAACGATACTTCAATACCAAAGACTGTGTAGATATTTTGCTACTAACCCGTATTCCTGGAACTACTAACCTGCTTTGCCAGTTTGTATTATTACGTTAATACATTATTTTCATATATTCATTCTTGGCGTTTGTTATTTATTGGTACTGGATTTCATTCCGAATCCACAACATAAACCAATGGCTTCTGTTATCAATATATATATATATATATATATATATATATATATATATATATATATATATATATATATATATTTCTAAGAGTTAGATTATATATATATATATATATATATATATATATATATACTTCTAAGAGTTAGATTAATGTTTTGGTGTTATCCACTAAAATTTGTCGTATGATAATCTTATTTTTGTGATATATTGATCTATATGTGCGTGAATGGCACTAAATTTTAACAAATCACAAGTCAACCTACGAGAAAGTGTGCTGCATGTGTAGCCAATATAATAATAATATTCACTCAGTGGCGTCTTACAGCCGTCTAAAATCGCAGTAAAGTTTACGCTCACGCATGCGTGGTAAGATCCGTTTTTAATGGTTGCCATTTTATTTCAACTCAACGCAAACTGGTTTTCACAAATTCAAAATGGCTGGATGCTTACTGAATAAACATCCTGTGTGAATACCGGTTTGATTATATACTGTAAACAGTGACTTTTTTTTTCTTTTTTTATTAACGTTTTTTCCATTATGTACAAAAGAGAGTGCTTGTCTGGATTCAATGAACATCAACATTTTTTTTTTTCATATAAATGGTTATTTACTATTATTTTTTACTGCGCGTCACCGGAATATGGACTTAGTGTGACGGTCATCAGTGACTAAAACGAATCGGTAAGCGGTGTTCGAATACAGGCTTAGTCGACTGCGAAACAATTTCTAATTTACGTCCCGTCAGCTATGAATTAAATAGACGGGTGGACTGGGCTCTTTAGGCTTGTGAAGCAATTAATTTAGGAGAAAGACAACTATGAATTCCAAAGCGTAGATAATGAAACGGTAAATCAGCCGAGTATAATTCACGAGAAGTCATAGCAATTCACCTTAATAAATTATGCCGATAGTCATGATCGCCTACAGCCTGATAGGATATGACATTTGTTTAAAAATGGGTTAAACAGTAGAGCATACTGAACTCTCTAGGCACGGGTGTCAGCAAGTCTAAGAAAAAGACAAAGCTAAATTCAAAACTGAGAAGACAACGTAAACTACTCCATTATCTTTACCATCTTCTTGATGCCATCAGTTTCCTACTAGGCATATATGCTAATGGAACAACTATTACTTCTTTCTTAATAGCAAGTTCGAGAGTTCCTTTAAAGTAAAACTTACTGTCAATCAGTTGTTAACTGGGGCAAGCAATGGCTTATAATTTTTAACACCTCCAAAGCAAAACTGCTTTCATTTAATCGTCATAGAGAACATTTTCGAACTTTCCATCAGTATATCTGATGCTAACTTGCAGGAGAACAATCGTACGATCGCCGAAGTTAAGCAACATAAGCCTGGTCAATACTAGATGGGTGCTGTAAGATTGAATTCTTGCATGCACCTCCCTCTCTCTCTCTCTCTCTCTCTCTCTCTATATATATATATATATATATATATATATATATAGTCGAATCCATTACATTCACTAACGTGCTAATACCCTTGGGAAAGGTATGAATCCTCTTACTCTCCCTCCAGCTATGGTTAAATAGCAAAACAGACTGGATTCTATAGCCTTGGATGGCAACTGGTCTAGGAGAAAAACAACTCTGAATTCAAAACCTGCAAAGGGTGCTAGGGGACCCTGTGGCACATAGTGCACCAGGTCTCTGTAATCGGCCCTTCAAAAAGTGTGGATGGTCCT